AAAAAAAAAAAAAAAAGCACAAGACAATCTCAAGAATTTAGATGTAAAAGTCCTATTAGCAAATATTAGCAAATAGAATTCAACATTATATAGAAAGGTAATACATCAAACCAACTTAGGTTTATTCTAAAAATGTAAGCCATTATCATTCAAAAACCAATCGATATGTATCACCACATTAATAAAAGCCATACAACCACCTTAATGTATGCAGTAAAAACATTTGATAAAATTCAATACTTGATCACAATTAAATGAGCAAGCTAGACATAGAAGACCATTTCCTTAAACTGATAAGAGTATGTATACAAAATTTAGAGCAAACAGGTTGACCCTAAGATTATTTCTACTCAACAATATAGGAAACAACTTAGCTAGTAGAATAAGGCAAGGAAAACAAATTACAAGGATTGGAAAGAAGTAAAACTGTTAGTGTTTGCATATGACATGATTCCAGATGTAGAAATCCCAAAAGAATAGAGAGATAAATAGAATTAATGTAGATTTAGCAAAGTTGTCATAAAGTCAATATATAAAAATCAAATATATTTCTACATAATACGAAAATAAAATTTCTAAAAGATAATACATCAGAGGCTATTAAAATAGGACTTGTGGGTCAAACCTATCTTGACACTTATTTTTGTAAATTAAGGTTTGACTGGAACACACCCACGCACGTACTTATTGTCTATGGCTACTTCACAGTACAACAGCAGAGCTGAATAGTTGCCATAGAGACCAGGTGGCTCACAAAGCCTAAAATAATGACTATCTGGCCTTATACAGAAAGTCTGTGGACCCCTGCCATATACGTTAACATCAGGAAAAATCAAATACATAAAGATAAATATACTGAATGATGTTTAAGACCTCTACACATGGGTGGCTCAGTCGGTTAAGCGTCCGACTTTGGCTCAGGTCATGCATGATCTCACGGTTTGTGAGTCTGAGCCCCACGTCAGGCTCTGTGCCGACAGCTCAGGGCCTGGAGCCTGCTTCAGATCCTGTGTCTCCTTCTCTCTCTACCCCTCCCCTGCTTGCAGTCTGTCTCTCTCAAAAATAAATAAACATTAAAAAATAATAAAAAAAATAAAGATCTCTACACATAAAACTGCACACATTAATAAGAGAAATTAAAGAACTAAATAAATGGAAAGATACATCATGTACACTGACTGGAAAATGCAATATTGAAAATATTTCAATTCTCTCCAAATTCGTGTATAGATTCAATGCAATCCCAATCAAAACTATAGGTTTTTTGGAAACTGACAGCTGATTCCCAAATTTATGTAAAATTCAAGGGGCCAACAATAGCCGAGATTATTCTGAAGATGACGACATATATGACAGGTATCCAAACTTACAGTAAATAAATCTCTTGTACCCACATGGAACAGAACAGGCCCACAGTGGACCCAAAGATCCATTACAACACAACGGGAAAAGAACGGACATCAAAAAGTGGTAGCAAATGCACTGGATATTCACATGGAAAAACAAAAGTAGTAGTATGACTTCTACTTCATCCCATACACAAAAATCAATTCCAGACAGACTGTAGTTCTGAAAGTAAAAAGTACAATAGAGTTTTTAGAAAATACCACAGAACATCTTCACCATCTCAAGTTAGGCAAAGATTTATTAAAAGGAAACAAGAGCAGTTAAGTATAAAATTAGACTCCTAAATCAACCTTCATTAAAATGAAGACTTTCTTTTCATCACAAGACACCATTAGGGTGAAAAGGCAAGCCACAGTCTAAAAGAAGATTCGTAATACATATACTAAAGAATTCACATCCAAAATATGTAAACAATTCTACAATTCAGTAAGAGATACACAACGCAATAAAATTTTTGCAGAAGCCTCAAAAAGCCTATTTCACAACAGAAGACTTTCAAGTATCCAATACAGGTACTTAACAGCATTAGTTATCAGGCAATTGCAAATTACTCCGCCATGAGATACTGTGACACTCAGCAGAGTGACAAATTTTTTAAACTGACAATATCAACTACTGGTAAATATGCAAAATGATGGAAATCTTTTACACAGGTGCTGGGAATGTAAAATTGGTGGAATCACTTCCAAAAACTGTTTGGCAGTATTTACTAAGGACAAATATGACCTAGCAATTCTACAAAGTATACGCCTGATAGAAAAGTATGTATTTTTACATTAAAAGACAGGAACAAGAATGTTTCACAGCCCTGAAGTGAAATAAAATAACCCAAATGTCGCCAATACAATTAAGTAAATAAATTGTGGAATATTCATAAAACGAAATTACTACACAGCAATTAAGTAAATTGTGGAATATTCATAAAATGAAATTACTACACAGCAATAAAAAAGAATGACCACTATGTGCACCAGTATGGATAAATCTCACAGACAGCATTCAAAAATAACAAGTCAGACATAAGTTTACACTTTTTACATTTATATAAAATTCAATGTAGGGTCTTATGAAGCATTTTCCTGGCTGTGTAAGAGTTATTGGAGAAGTAGATATACACGAAGAGAAAACAACGAGCAGACTACTCCAATAATCCCAGCATCCCAATCCCCTGGTAAATATTTACAACATATGTGGATAATACTTTGGAAGCACAAAGACAACCTAAAGGAAAATTTGGCAGGTCTTGCTGACCTATCCTGGCCAAGAGAGAAAACTGAAGAGAAGGAAGCGTCAAAGTTCACTGTGAGGTTTCAAGTCTGTAAGGGAAAGATGGAGGTAATGACAAAAATACCAATGACCCATCAGGCTGAGACTGAAGTAACAAGCTCCTGTCTACAAGTGCAGGTTAAGAGGCTATTATGAAGAACTTGCCTGGCCTATCAGTAACGCCTAACAATTATTGGTTGACATTGATATTAGCTGACTCTACAGAACTGATCATTTGAGAGGTCAAGGACTGAAATCAATCCAGTAAGATCACAGGTAAAACCCATTATACAAATTGTTAATTCCCAGGTCATGCTTATTCTTTATGCTCCAGCAAAGCTTGCTAACATGGCCCCTGTACTCACTCTGGCTTGACGCTGTTTCACTTCAGCCCTGAGCTTATCACGCAGACACCTCAGTTTATGAATTTTGGTCCCAAGATCGCTCTCTGCTGTCTCTCTCGGCGGGTCTTCTAAGTTTTTACAGGATCTGCTCATTTGAGTCTCTAGTCTTTCCAAGTGAGCTAAAACACCTGAGGAAAGTAAAAAGGCAATTTCACAAGCATCCAGGGATTTCTGACTCTGGCCACAGGAAGAATTTCAGGGATGAACAGAGGGTTAACTCCCTTCTTAGAACTTTGACCAGCTAAAATGTTAGACATTGGCCATGATTTATAAAACCAGAGGACCTGACAAAAAGAATCAAGAATGAGCAGCCTTATAGGTTGAGCACTAACGTACAAGCAGTTCCTGACCAGGACAGTCCAACGTGAGCATAATCTGAATGTAACTCATGTCAGTTATCTATGATAAGGACTGGGGAAAACAGGGTCACCAAATTCACTGACTCTCTCAGACACTGTTATTAAAACTGTAGATTTTTACATTGGCTTTTATGCATGTTTCCCCAAAGTGCTAATGCATAGCTCTTTGGATTCAGACATCCAGAAAGTCTTAAGTGTTTTGAAGCTCTGAGAAGTATTATTCACACAGGACTAAAAGGACACTAAAGGGAACTGTCTACCAATATTACTGGGATTTAGAAAGGAAAACAAGTTCACAGTTGGACAGAAATTCAAAGGCAAATATCAGTTCCCAAGAGACTAAGGACCATCACAGTTTCATAATGCCAATCAAGTCTAACAATAAAGCATTTGCTGCACATTTCCTACACATTAAGACCCCGTGCTAGATGTTTTATTTGCACATTATGTAAAGAATTAAAGCATGAAGGGGCCCCTGGGTAGCTGAGTCGGTTAAGCGTCCGACTCTTGATATCAGTTCAGGTCATGATCTCAAGGGTGGGATCAAGCCTTGGGTCAGGCTCTGTGCTGACAATGTGAAATCTGCTTGGAACTCTCTCTCTCTCTCTCCCCTCTTCGCTTGTCTCCTCCTCATGCTCGCGCGCGCGCGCTCTCTCTCTCAAAATAAATAAGCTTAAAAAAAAAATAAAGCATGAAGATAATTCAGTTCTTATTTTCTTTCCACAACCATCACCATAAGGCTACTACTTGCCTCCATTTTCCAGATGAAATGAGCGCAGAGAATGGCAAAATAACTTGCCCAAGGCCACGTTATTTCTAATGGCAGGGCCAGGACACGCCCAAGTCTAACCAACACCGAAGTCACTGCTTGGCTCCGATCCTTCCACAGGTGTAATGCATAAATGACCCCACCCAAAAAAATCCTGGAAAGGAATGAGACCTCAGTGACTAGAACTGTAGCTCCGAATATATAAACACTAAGCATTATTATGAGTGCAACCTATCCGTTTAAAAAGGGGCAGGAGCCTAGAAATGTCTGAAATAATTTCCCATCTGCAATGAATAATCTTAGCTGGCCTGTGCCTTTTCAGTCTTCAGTGTTTGGATCTTTCACCATAATGCTCCCAGCAGGCCGGGTCACACATCCGTTAGAGGAGGAAAGGGTTGTTTTGATCTAGGCGTCCTCTTTGGCAGCAGTACTAAGGGGGAAAAGGCGACCCTTTGAATACCTCCTTTGGACTTGTCATTCGCCCACTCCATCTCCTCGGTTTCCCACCGGCCTTCCTACGAAGTTGTGCAGGCAAGCCTTAATAGGGACCCAGATGTCCTTGCTGGTAAAAGAAAAAAGGCAAGAAAGTCACATCTATTCACACTTGGGGTGTCGCGAGACACCCCAAGTGACACCGCTAGGACGCCCCTTCCCTGACCCGTCCTACCCTGCCCGTTCCCCGGTCCTAGCCGGCAGTCTACTTGCCCCCGCGCGTGCCCCACAACACGGCTTTAAGAGGCTGTTCAGCCTTCCACCGCGACCACGGTCTCGTCCGCCACCGGGTCTTCTTTTCCCCTTACCTCTTCTCTAGCTCACCCAGGCCAAGGTGGAGTTCCCGCCGTCCACGCCTTCAAAACCAAACCAATCGGACCCAGCGTGCTTTGCGCCGCCACCGTACAAAAACATGGCTGCGCTCAGGGCCCCTCCCTCATCCCGGCATGCACCGGGGAGTAGGGCCGGTCTTTCTGTGGGCCCGGAAGATGGCGGCCTCTGGCGCAGAGCCGCAGATCCTAGTCCAGTACTTGGTGTTACGAAAGGATCTGTCGCAGGCTCCATTCTCCTGGCCGGCAGGCGCAATGGTAGCGCAGGCTTGTCACGCAGCCACCGCGGCCTTGCACATTCACCGCGACCACCCCCACACGGCCGCTTACCTTCGGGACCTGGGGCGCATGCGCAAGGTGGTCCTCGAGGTGAGGCACCCGGCGGAGGGGGAGGGGTGCCGAAGTCGTCGGGACCGGAAGTGGGTGTGGTCTTGGTGCAGAGGCCTTACTTGGTCGAGTAGGTGTGGCGTGAGTGGGGAGGAGTCTTCTAAGTAAGGTTTGGGAAGGTTGCCGAGACTTGAGCGATGGCCCCGGGAGCTTTACTTCGGCCGGACGGGGGCCTGTGTGAAGAGTGAGTGGACATTGGGTTATTAAGACTTCCCGCCCCCTTCCGCTCTCATCGGCGTCCCTCTTAATAGAGGGGTATGACACCTAATTATTTGAAAAATAAATGTGTACATATATTGAACCTAGCTTCATAAATAACCAGATACCGCTGGTGTAAAATAGAGGTAAGGTTCGTTTTGCAGGCGGCCAAACAGATCTTACCCTTACCTTTTCCCTTTGTCAATTCTGCTTCTGGAAGTGTAACCTAGGAAGATACCAGATACCAGACGCATCGAAGAGCATTGTATAGATCAAGAATATTCATAGGAACACTTTATAATAGTAAAGAATGTGGAAATCACCAAATTTCCAGCACTAGTGATTGGTTAATTTTATGCTTAAAATGTGCTATTATAAAGCTAGTATAAATCACGGTTTTTGAAGCATATTTAGTTGGCATGGAAGAGTGCTCATTATGTTATGCTAACCGAACTATATTCTAACTACAAAATGATCCAGATTTTGAAAGGGAAAACTAAGGAAATACATCCACATATTGAGCAGGTGGTGAGATTTGGGTTATTTTCTAATGCTTCTCTATTCTTTTTAGTTTTCTACATTAAACACATATTTTACTTTACATTATAAAATGTACTATAAACAAACTAGAATCCTAGGGCGGAAATGGGATAATCCCTTAATGGCCAGCTGACAAAGCAGATTGTCTTTCAAGAGAAAGATTTCTGTTGGGTAGTAAAACATCAGTCAGTAACCTAGGGGGAAGTGTCTTGAGAATCTATGAGTAGACAGAAAAGAAACAGATAGCTTTTCATTTAGACTTTTTATAGGAAGAGGACCTCAAGAAGTCATCTGGTTCAGACATCTCCCTCTCCCACACGTTCAGGCAGATAATATATTTATTTACCCCTTTTCTCAGATGAGAGATCTGAAGCCCACAGAGATTAGACGACTTCCCTTAAGTATAGTAGATACCTGATGAGAGGTGCTTGGGTGGCTCCGTCGGTTGAGCATCCGATTCTTGATTTCGGCTCAGGTCATGATCTCACATTGGAGAGAGATGGAGCCCGAGCTATTAGCACAGAGCCTGCCGTGCTTAAGATTCTCTCTCTCCCTATATACCCCTCCCCCACTCATGCTTTCTTTCTCCCTCAAAATAAACTCAAAGGTTGCACCATCACTAAGTGGCAGAGCAATGGACTCCCTCTGACTCACTGTCCTATGCTGCTATGTGGTGCTGAAGGGGGGGG